TTCACTTTTTCTCTTCCATGTTCCTCCTCTATCATTACTGTACTCCTTTCTTTTGCCTGTATTTTCTTCCTGATTTTGCTGATCCCAATTCCTTCCAATTCTGGATTGGTTATGCTTTGATATTAATAGTACATGGTAGATGATTAGAGAGGCAGAGAAAAGTATGCTGTCCCTCTGGTCCATGAGTTGTTGTTCTGCCCTGGCTGAATTATGTTGAGATGACTATTTTCATATGGCAGAGACATGCTGTTCCCGTATTCATCTTTTACAAAGTGAAACGGTACTCCTCAAGCAACAAAGAGAAACTTATTAGACTTTTCATCTTTGACGTGTTGGAAGATAGTATCTCAAGGGAGATCATCTTCAGATCAGCAGTCTAAAATTTCAAAATGAAACAAATGTCTCTTATGCATGAATAAACTATGAAAAGGAATTAATTGGGTGCTATCGATTAAAATTTCCAGGATCTGGGATAAAAAAATTGCATCTGGCTTTCTTACAAAAAAATGTTTTACAAAATCATGTTTGTGGACATACTGGAATGGAAATTGTCTAGCCAAAACATCAGATGATGCAGAATTTTGTGGCATGTTAATGAAATGAAGCATGTAGCACATACTTAGTTTGGTAAGGTGCAGGCCACATGCCAGCTTCTAACAAGTAGTGTCTTTGGACAGCTTAGCTGTACTACCATGGCCAAAATGTGTCTTTGTAACATGCATGGTGCAAACTATTGCAACTTCTTGTTTTCATTTTCAGGTGTCAAAACATAGTGAAAACTTCTGATAATGGGCAGGAAGGGTCTGTAGTATTCCCAGCTGTTGAAGCAGGCAATCGTATAATAGCACCATTAATATGGAAGTACTTATGTGGGGATTGAGATTTTATAGGCAATTAGGACATTTAACTGTGACTAGCAGGGTGGTTAGTAAAAGTTTCACTGCATATTGCTTTCCTGGGCTGGAAAACTCAAGGATAAATAGGAGCATTCTATTTATGTAGCCTTGTGAACGAGTCTTTGAATTAATTTGTTTTATTTTAGATTCTGAAAGGGAATATAAAAATGCACATTTTTAACTTGGGAAAATGTTCCATTTTCAGCATTGCTTTTTAGTCAGTCCTGCCCTTATATGAAGTCAAGTTCATCTACATATCCCTGTAGAATCAGCTTCTTTACATGAGAGCTTCAGGACACTAGATTTCTACATGGTGCATGCCTGCATACAGAACTAACTGTTGCATCTAAAGTTTCCTTAGAAACAGTTCTTTCTCTTGCCAGTCAAGGTTTTGGGGGGAAGATTTGACTCTTCTATTTTTAATTTAAATTCGATTTAGCTACTGTTAAAATATTCCTGCTGGAAAATAGAATAGAGTTTGAGGGTGGGAGGAAGTTTGATGGAGATGCGGGAAAAGTTTTGCTGTTAGAAACAGAAAAGCAGAATGTTCATTAAACACAGGTGTTAAATACAGCGCTTTTAATACATAAAGATAAAAATGGATGTATGCTTATTGGGTGTGTCTTTATTGGAGGGGGACTGACTAGTTTCTCATTGTTAAACTTAAAGAATTTGACCCTTCTCTTCAGATATCAAAGATTTTTTTAGCAAACCCAATAATGGGTTAGTATAGAAAGACTCTTTTGAAAATGTTACCTAAGCCCTATTTTTCCAGTGACTTAGACCCTTAGGAGCTAAATCTCTTTTGAAAACTGCACTTAGGCTCTTTTGAAAATTTTGCCTCAGACTTTCGGTGACCTAGATGATCCAAATTCTTTGTATGGCACAGTGATAAGGAGGAGTGAGAGAAAGAGGGAAGTATTTTCTTTGAGTAGAATTTCTGTTTTGAGACAACTTGAAGATTACTCCAGCCAGATATAAAGAAAATAGTTTTTCCAAGAGCCGAGTTGGTTCCTTTAAGCTTTCCCACCTCCATTCTTTTTTCTACATAGTTAAGATTGGTAGTCCATCGATGATGATGATGATGATATTATCGGAGTTCTCATCTATGGCTACACACATGACTCCAAAGTTCGAACCCTGATGCACAGAGTCGGCTGCACTGAGGGCATGGAGAGTCTGTATCCATGATGATTGATGATGCAGCTCTGTGGTGCCATTCACGTATAGCCTGGAGATGATTTTGTCGATCCTGCTCAAATCTGTTACATGCTGATCTTGTCCAAGACTACCAGTGAGTCCTGTTCTGAGCCATTTGCTCAAGTTCTTTGGGATTGATGCCAGCCCACTGGAGACTGCTCTTCAGAGTATCTTTGAAGCACTTATATGGATGACGCTTCTTTCTTTTGCCCTGACTCAGCTCCCCATAGAAGATCTGTTTTGGTAGATGGTGGTCTTCCATTCTGATGACATGTCCGGTGCAGCTAAGTTGTGCTCTCAGTAACATTTCCTGAATGCTGGTTGTGTTTGCTCTCTCAAGGACCTTAATATTGGTCACTCTGTCTTGCTAGTGAATTCTCATTATTGAGCGGAGGGAGTGCATGTGAAATTGCTCAAGCTGTTTAATGTGATGTCTATAGAGAGTCCACATCTCAATCCATACAGGAGAGATGTTAGAACCACTGCACTGTAGATCTTCATTTTAGTGGAGAGACGAATGTTGTGTTGGTTAAGGACTTTTGTGAGTTGACCAAGGGCCTGACTGGCTTTACTAATTCTGGAGGAAATTTCCTTATTATGGGAATTGTCACTCAAGATGGTGCTGCCCAAATACTTGAACTGATCCACATTTTTGAGCTGTGTGCCTTGGATGAAGATGGCTAGCACGAGCATTGGAATGAGGTGCTGATTGGAACAAGACCTATGTCTTCCCAAGACTGATGATGAGGCCAAGGAGCTGGGATGCTTCAGAAAATCTGTCAATGGTGACCTGAAGGTCATCATGTCTATAGGCCATCAAGGTGCAGTCATCTGCAAAAAATACCCAGATAAGAAGTCTCTCCAGCGTCTTGGTCTTAGCATTGAGGCTCTGAAGATCAAGGAGGGAGCCATCAAGCCGGTACCAGATAGATAGATATATATAGATATAGATATAGATATAGATATAGATATATATATATATATATCCCCTGACCAAATCCCTTGTGACATGGCTGAGGACACAGACAAAGAAGAAGTTGAACAGCACTGGAGCAAGTATGCAGCCTTGCTTCACTCCATTCGAGTTTTAAAATGTGTCAGAAAAGTCACCACTGGCGAGCACTTGCTCTGTCATGTGATCATGGAACAGATGGATGATTTGTATGGACCTTCTTAGGCAGCCCAGTTTATGCAGAATAGCACATAGACCCTCTCTGACCGTATCAAAAGCAGATTGGTAAGCGCAGTGGTCAACTTGCATATAGTCCCATTCACAGCACAAGTGCCCGAAGCTCAGTAGAACAGCCTTCAGCATAGCAAAGCTCAAGCACACCAACAATCAGGTGCAGTTTCAGCAGTTCATTTGATGACAAGCTTTTTTCATGCCTGAAAATCACTGGCAAACCAACAGAGAAAATGGAACCAGTTCAAACATGTGATAGTTAAGATTATACAAAGACCAAAAGCAGTATGTATTTTTCATTTATTATGTTAGCAATGTCTGGTTTTTTGTTTTTGTTTTTTTTTGGACATTCTTAATTTAAAAATAGATGATTTTGCAAATTATTATACTCGTTTGCTGAATGGCCTTATGCAGCACAGTTCTAAAGATTCTGATTTCACCGTAGTGACTGTTTCGTATACGTTCTTATGCCTTTGGGGGAGGGATAGCTCAGTGGTTTGAGCATTAGCCTACTAAACCCAGGGTTGTGAGTTCAATCCTTGAGGGGGCCATTTAGGGATCTGGGGCAAAACTTGGGGATTGGTCGTGCTTTGAGCAGCGGGTTGGACTAGATGACCTCCTGAGGTCCCTTCCAACCCTGATATTCTATGATTCTGTGATATGTAATTATTTGTTGGGGATAGTGTATTTCATAGATTTTTTTTTTTAAATAGAATTGAAGTCCAGAAGGGACCATTAGATTATTCAGTATGATCTCCTGTGTCTGTCAGCCACTAAATTTCACCCAGGTACCCCTAGTTTGAGCCCGGTGACTTTAATCAGACTGTAGCTAGACCCCATCTCTCGCAGTGGCCTATCAGTGTTTCAGCAGGAGGGGGGAAAAACCCAGAGTACATCTGGCCAATTATGTATTGGGAGAAATATAGATCCTTCTTGATCGTATAGGTGACCAGCAAAAGCCCTGAAGCATGAGATTTGATTATACATAATGATACTAATCTCATTTGTAAAGCACTTTGAGAACTACTTATGAAAAGTGCTATGATAAGGGCGAGGTGGTATTATTAGTTATTGTCTTAGGACAGAGCTGCAAGTGTTAAGAGCATGCTGAGAGCAATGCAGGCAAACCTGTAATCCCCATGGTCCATAAAGGCAGAGAATGAGAAGGGGAATTCATATATTCAGATTCCAAGGTCAGAAGGGACTACTACAACCACGCTAAATAGGTTTGGACCAAGAACTGATCCCTGTTGTAACCTGTTAGAAATGGCCCACTCATTGATATCTTCCCATTAACAACCACATTTTGAGAACTGTCAATGGCTAGTTTTTAATCTATTTAATTGTGTGTCCTATTAATTCTATGTAATGCAATTTTTTTAAAATCAGAATGTCATGTGAGACTAAGTTAATTGCTTTGGAGAAATCCACAGTATATTTAAGAAGTTAAGGGCTTTTATCATTCTCCCCCCCCCCCCCTTCTCAAGATGTTTTTAAGGAGTTTCTTCAACAAAACACTAAATCTGATAATATTTCTATAGGGAAGTCTTTGGTTACTATTGTAAATATGTAATACTTCAAAGTGATAAAATTTAAGAAATCATCTGGCTTGTGTCTTGAATTAAATTTTTTACACATAGTTGAGACGTGTGCATAGTGGAGTTACTATAATTGTTATGCTTCCATGACTGTATATGTAACATCATACCTTGTCTTTCTTTTTCAGTGGTCTTATTGTTCCTGAGAGGGATGGCAATGAAACAATCCCAGAAGTTGTAGCCACTTCTGGCTATGTCCTACTGCATTTCTTTAGTGATGCTGCCTATAATTTGACAGGGTTTAACATCACCTATAAGTAAGTAATATTTCTTCCAAATGGTTTTGAGGAAATTTAAATGTTGCATATTGAGAGAGCAGTCTAAATGCACTCCAAGGATGGATCAGGAGAGATATTTCCAGTAGGGCCAGGGAATTATGAATTCCACTGTACAAGGAACTGGCAAGACCCCACCTAGATAGCTGTGTACAGTCCTGGGCACCGTGTTCAAGAAAGATGAATTCAAATGGGAACAGGTGCAGAGAAGGATTATCGGGGATATGGAGAACCAGTCGTATGGGAGAAGGCTAAAAGAGCTTGGCTTGGTCAACATAGCCCCTCTCAGCTTTTGCTTTACTATGATTGCTCTCTATACATACATGGGGGGTGGGGGAGGGGGTAACACCAAGGCAGAAAAGAGCTATTTAAACTGAAAGACCATGTTGGCACAAGAACAAAT